CCCCACCCAAGACACTTTGTAAGCCAAGTTTCAAGACAATTATATGATTTTATATTTAAATATTTTTTTAAAAATCAAACTCTAAAAATATATTTATATATATTATATAGATACACAAATATTTAAAAAGAATTTTTTTTGGGGCCACCCCACCCAAAACGCTGCACGGCAAGTTCCAAAAAAATATTTATAATTTCATATTTAGATATTTTACTCAAACTGCAAAATTAAATATATAAATATAAATAGAAAATTATGATTGACACTCCAAAATTCTCATTCTACATTCCAAATTTTCCATATTTGGAAAGAAAAATACAATTGTAAAGAGTGCAGGATGAGATTTTTGGAGTGTCAATAACATTTTCCTATATATAAAAATATATATATATATATTTGGGGGCTCTCTTGAAGTGGGGGCCCTAGGCGGGCGCCTACTCAAGCTACCCTCAGGGCCGGCCCTGTCTGGTTGTTGAATTGAATAAATTAAAGAAGATTATGCAAAGAAAAAAAATTTAATAAGGGCTCTTTGTATGACTGCACCATCAACAATGCCATATTTTTTTTCAAGTGTCGGTATTCAAGTGGTAGTGCACATGTCATAACATAAGCAGAGGAAATTATATATATTTTTAGTATCGCTCCACTTATTTTATCACACGTAGAATCAGTGACGGATCCAGAATTTTAACATCAATGATCCCAAATCAACAAAACAAAACAACTGGACTAAATCTAACATCAATTAAGAGTTTTCGGATTTTAATAATAAAAGCCTCTATAAATTAACAATAATAATATTTGTACACACGAAATTAATTCAAGAGAGAAGATTGCCAATTTGCTAATCCAAACTAATCCAAGAGAGAAGTTGATAAGTTAATCACTTAGTACTAAGATCTAATAGTATTCTTCTTCACTTGTAAGTGAGAGGTCTTAAGTTCGATTCTCGCTAAAAACGAATTTAAACCACATTATTGTTAGTTCATTATGAGGTTAAGTCCATCCCTCCTTTTAATGTAAATAATATCGTTTGTTCATAAAAAAAAAATTGATAAGTTGAAATGCATAGCAAATCAGTAATTATTCATATTAATTTGAGAACAATATGAAATTACTCATATCCTCTCACGGCTCTGCAGGCAAAAATCAACATCTTGGGAGGTTGGTGATGAAGACGATTGTGAGGATGACATTGCTAACAACTGTCGCTTGCTTTATTTTCTACAATATTTCTGTGCATCCTTTCAGATTTCTACCGGATTAGGATTATCTCTCCTCCTATTACCATCCCCTTCCATCATCTTCTCTCACACTCTTCTTTTTGTCCTTTTGTCTTATTCTCATATCTACTATACTCATTTTGTGTACGTGTTGGTGCTTCACTGCCCAACGTTCTATGCCATAAAGCATTGATGGCCTTATTGCTGTCCTATAAAATTTCCCTTTAGCTTTAGTGACATACGACAGTCACACAACACACCTGAAGCACTCTTCCACTTTATCCATCCAACTTGGATTCTATGATTAAGGTTTCCATCCAGTTCTCCCTTTTTTTGCAAGATAGATTAAAGATAGCGAAAGAGTTCGCTCATTGATACTTCTTGATTTTTAATCCTCAACCCTAACTCATTTGAACCTTCGTTCCTACTAAACTTGCACTCCATATACTCTGTATTTGACCTACTTAGGCGAAGACCTTTAGATTCCAACACTTCCCGCCAAAGGTTAAGCTTCGCATTTACTCCATCAAGAGTTTCATCTATCAACACTATCCCCTAATTTTTTTGGTTTTTGCAATTTTCAATTTTGTACCATTCCATATACATATTCTACCATTCTTCATGTCTCCATCTCTATCCAAAAATCTCAAAACCGAAAACGAATGATTACTGAACGGTCATAAGTCAATAGCTACAAACATACATACATAATACACAAGCATGTTTGATATTAGTTGGTGCAGGTGCATGGAAACAAGGAGGCTACAGTTGTGAAAAATACACTAATGAATTTCATTTAATCTTTCAACAACCCACTTCATGTCAGGCCTATATTGTGGTAAATTTATGACGCAATACCAAGCGATCTTAAAGTACTGCGATAAATGGTCTGCTGCAACCAATAGGATGGGGTTACTTGGATCAACAATGTAATTAGCCACCATCATTTTAACCCATTCCACCACGTCCATCTCTTGGGCGTCAAATGTTGTCAACTTACTCGGCCGCCTCCTGGTCGCAATCTCCAACATCAAAATGCCAAAGCTGTAGACATCACCCTTTGTTGTGGCCCTGTTAGATCCTGCCATGTACTCAGGAGGCATGTATCCTACAGAGCCATCTGGCTCCGTCGTCACATGCGTATGTGACGCCTCCATCCATCTAGCGAGCCCAAAATGAGCGATGTGGGGCTCAAAGTTGGAGTCTAGTATCACATTTTTCGACTTGATATCCCTGTGAATAATTGGGTTGTCCAAGCCATGCAGATAGGCAAGGCCGTCGGCGACACCTTTAACAATCCGAAACCTAGTCTCCCACGATGAGACAGCCCAACGCCGTGATTCTTCGTGCAGCCAACTGTAAAGATCGCTATTGGCGTAGTACTCGTAAAACAGAAGGTGAGTTGAGTTCCACTGGCAGTGCCCCAAAAGCTTGATAACATGTGGGTGCTGTACCTTACCAAGTGTTTCTTCTTCGGCGCGAATTGCTCGCACGTCAGGGAACCCTACGGCGTTACACTTCTTTACAGCTACACTCATGCCATTGGAAAGTAGGCCCCTGTAGACGAGATCGAAGCTCCCGCCTCCGATGATCATTTCCGGGGAGAAATCTTTCGTGGCTCGCCGGAGCTCAGCCACCATCGATGTTTGATAAGACATGCTAGTGCCTAAAGAACAATAAGTCAACATATAATGCAAGGGATACAAATAGAAATATATGTATACACGTACATATATTACTACACCAAATCTGGATTGAGGAAGAAGCTCTGTCGACGTTAAAAGCTTGTTAAACCGCGTAATTTCATAGCCAGTGAAAAGCAAAGCGAAATCAGAGCTAAATTGCTGGGAATTTGCACTGAAATTGCATTTGTTTGTTTTATATTCCAAAAAGTTAAAATGGAATAAGATTTTAAAGGCCTAAGAAATAACAAAGAACCAACCACCGAAAATACATATAGAAAAGGATAATGTTAGGAAGATCAAAATTTTTAAACTAAATTTGCAAATCAAATGATGTAGTTGTAGATGATTGGATTATTGATCAAGTATCGATTCATGTGCTTGTTTCTTATTGGTGACACATCATTTGATTTGCATGATTTAAAATTTTGGTCTTCCTAGCATTATTCATAAAAAAAAAATGTTATTCTTAAAAACTAGGCTTATTTTTAGCTACGCCCACAAGAACTTCATTTTGATCTGATTTTGCCCATTGTAACTCAAAAGTCACCACGTTATTCCTTCAAACTCAAAATTTGTTCCTTTTTGATTTGTGGACTCTTTCTTCTCCTAGAAACTTATAAATCGTCTCTTAAAGTATATGTGAGACCCAACACCCAATATGACTATTCATATGTGCAACAAATTTAATTATAAATCTCCATTATGCGTTAACATTCAACAATAAGAGAATATTAAATTAAAAAAAAATTGAAGAAATGGAAAAATAAAAAAAAGAAATTTATTAGCTTGATGCACCCAAATCACACTCACATAAGAAATTAACGAATCTAATGTAATGTGGAGCGAATTTTTATTTTTTTTACAGACAACTTTCAAGTTTCAGGAACAAAATGGAATCAAAATCGAGTTACAGGGGGCAAAGTAAAACTAACTTTGAGTTTCAGATAGTCAAATGGTAACTTTTGAATTATAAAAAATAAAATGAAATTAAAATTGAGTCACTTACGTACCTAAAAATAAGCCCAAAAACTATTGTACCATACTTTTAAAACCACCTTTTGTGGCAGCTGAGGTGGACATCTATATCAATGAAATATTCTAATTTATTTAATTAAAACACTAGAGAAACAAAAAATGAAAAACCTATCAAATCCCAACCCGAATTGGCGTCGAGGCCATGAATTGGTACCCCAATCGATACCATAATTGAAAACCAACAGAACAATCCGGTTAGATTCGAGTGACGGGGAGTCTTAAACGGGGAAGATTTTGGTGTATTGGAGAAGTAGAGGAAGGCTAAGGCGGCGGTGGAGGAGCGAAGCAGTTGGTGAGGAGCGGAGGAAGATGGGATTGGAGAGGCAGAGTAATCGGTGGGCCCTACCTTTAATTGAAAAATGGTACAAATGTGGTATAAAAAATGTGATAAGTGTATTACTCATATTATATTACTCTTGCGTTCTTCTTTCACTATATTATTATAGGATAATTCTTGGGTACTTACATTTTAGTTTTGTCCAATGATAAATTAACACATGTTTATTATTTTATAAAGTAATGAACATGTCATTAATTTTTCTTGAACTTTAAAAAAATAAGGAACACATGACAATTTTTTATTTGGCCAAAAACAAGTAACAACCAACATGTGACCCATTTGCAAGGTCTAAACAATAGACATGACAAGTTCTTGCATGATCCTAACTCGACATCAAATGACACGACTTGTTAACGTGTCGAATCGTCATTGGATCACCTGTTAAAAACCCGCTAAGATAACGGGTTAACACAACACGATCTATTAAAATAACAGGTATAATACAAAAACGATACGAATACGACAAACACGATCCTTTTTTCAGGTCTAGTGAAGTCCAAAATTCAATAACTGGGGTATTTTGGTCATACGACCTACCTTATTCGGCTGCAACGGTTAGTAAATCAAATCCAACAGGGATATCGCCATTTTCTCTCCCAATCACTTAATCCAAACGACCCAAAAAATTAGAAAAACTTAATCCAACGGTTCAAACACACAGAAATTTTAAAAGCTTTATCAGATGGTCCACATATAATCCCCCAAAAAAACTAGCCGTTACACAGAGAGCGTCGACTGCTCTAACGTTCCCTTTTTCTCTCCCTTCTCTCCAAATCCATCAATCCATCACCATTCTTTCTTCGCTCCCATAAACACCAAACCTTGATTTTCTTCTCTAAACCTACCAAGCCCAGTTGTTTCCGGCGAATCTTCTTTCTTTTCCGGTCATATTTTGATGGATTTTATCGGCAAGAACGCCGGAGTGGTGACTCCTGTGAAAGACCAACACGGGTCTCGATACAAGAAGCACGAGAAATCAAGATGCACCGAGAATATGAACCCCAATGTTTCGCCTGGCCCGAAACACACTGCTTCCCCTGCGACGAAATCGGCGGGGAAGTCCCAGAAATCGGCGTCCAAGAACCCGAACCCGAACCCGGTTGTTCGTTCGCCCCGGAACAAGATCCGGGAGAGGAAGTTCATCGTTGCGAAGAAGAAATCAAAGAAGGAGAACCCGAACGTCTCATGCAAGTGCAAAGATAAGGGCAATTCGAAGATGTGCCTCTGCGTTGCGTATGAGAATCTGAGGGCGTCACAGGAAGAGTTCTTCAAGAAGCGAAACGACGACGTCGAATCGGAGAGTTTGAAGGAGAGCGAAAGAGCTGGGCGTGAACTGGAGGAAGAAATCGAGGAGGGTTTGAGGATTCAGGACCTTCAGATTGAAAATGGGTCGGGTGATATTGACCTGGATAGTGAAATGGGTTGTTCAACAATCAAGAGAAGAAGGGACAAGTTGCTGGAAGAGGCGAGGCAGAGCGTGCCGAAGAGTGGGAAGGTGATGCATTTGGTTCAGGCGTTTGAGAAGCTGCTTTCGATTCCGAGCTCGAAGGATTCGGATGAGCAGAATGGGGAGGAGGAAGCGGCGGAAGAGATTGGGAAGAAGGCGGCGAAGTGGGCATTGCCCGGATTGCAGCCTCCTCCTAAGGCGCTAGAAACACAGGTCTCGTCTTCTTCGTTTTTACCGTCGGACTTGTTTTTGACGTCGGAGAATCTCGGTCTGGATCGGCGAACTTCAGTCTCTTCTTCTTGGGATGGAAGTCTGGGAAGGTTAGCAATTATACTTGATTATAGTTAGCAACTTAGCATGAGAATTTGATGCACATCAGGTGTTTGTTGTATGTTCTGACTGAGTTTGGTTGTGCTCTTTTGACTAAACAGTGTCTCAAGCAGGACTTCGAATGGGGAGCGAAGGAGCCGAAGAAATGTAATTTTTGTCCTTACTGTTTTTACATTGTTTGGAGATTGAAAATGATTGACTAACTCAGGTTATCTTTGCATTCGGGTTCGAATTTCAGAGCTCTGAATCTTCCAGCACAATCGGAGGAGGGAGATGGAAGAAGAAGAAGCAACAGAGAGCCACTAGCGCTAAGCCATTCAAGCTAAGAACAGAGGTAAACTGTGCTGGAAATGAATGGTATCGAAAAGCACTCGAAAGTATACGTGGTTTGCGTTGCTTCTAACTTTGTTTTGTGATATCACTGCAGGAAAGGGGAAGACAAAAGGAGGAAGAGTTCACGAAGAAGCTACAAGAGATGATGATGGAGGAGGAGAGACAGCGGATACCAATTGCTCAGGGCCTCCCATGGACAACTGACGAACCAGAGGTATAGATACCAATTCAATGTCCCAAATCACATGAAAAGGACTATATTTAAGTGATTTTATTGCTATTGCAAGACGGACAAGACCGAACCACTAACTTGTATGCATATCTTTGTGTTTGTCATCTCAGTGCTTACTGAAACCTCCAGTAAAAGAAATAACAATACCAACAGACCTGAAGCTCCACAGTGACATGCGGGCAGTAGAGCGAGCTGAGTTTGACCATCAGGTGATTTTGAATACTTCAGCCTTAAGAATATGCGCTTTGTCTCCATATTTTCAATCATTCTCAGCTTAGTAGTGCATATAAACGCTGTTTGAAAAAAATTGTTTCCAGGTAGCATTTGGGAAATAAGTTTTGCCTCGATTTTGTAGAATTAGCTTTGTGACAACGAATTGCCTTTCCGAATTTGGTTTTAATGTGTGTGCACCCCATCAGGTGGCAGAGAAGATGAGCCTGTTTGAGCAATACAAGATGGAAAGAGAAAGACTGCTGAAGGTAAAGAGCTATTGCACTTGATGAGCTTTCTACGGTCGAAGTTAGTCTCGACCTGAATTATGAGTTTTGGTATTGTTCTCTTGCAGTTGGCAGAAGAGGAGGAAATAAAAAGATTGAAGAGGGAGCTTGTTCCGAAAGCGCAGCCAATGCCCTACTTTGACAGGCCTTTCATTCCCAGAAGGTACTTGATTGATCCGATTGTAAACCGATATCCTCAATACGTGCTGCATCCCATTGAACCTTCTTTGTTGAGCGAGATATATTCCGATATTCAAAGTATTTATAAGTAGGAGATGTGATACATTTTTCTTACGTCGAGTACATGTTTCTTCGTTGTTAGGTCAATGAAGCATCCAACCATACCGAAAGAACCGAAGTTTCATGTGCCTCAAAACAAGAAGATCAAATGCTACTTGTCGTGGGACGAGATGAGCACCTACACTTACGAACATTGAAGACGAGAAAGAACCCTTGATCGGTTTCTCCTTAGTGACCAATAATCATGTCTTTTATATTTCTTTTCCTCCAACTTATTTCTGACATTACTTTTGATCTTTGTATATGTTTTGAAGCAACTAGTTTAGTTGCAATTTTTCTACCATTAATTTGATTCTTTGAAACATCCTTCTTAAGAGGTGCAAATGTAATCTTATGATGTGACAATCGTCGTTCTTTCTCCGTGAGCACGTAAACTTGGAGCACATATTATTGGGGCTAACTTCCTATTTGATTTGATAATTAGGAGTAAATTGTAGATATGATTCTTTAACTTTAACTCAATTGGAACAATGGTCCCTCAACTAAAAATTCATTACCATTGGTCCCTCAACTCATCAAAACGTGCAGCTATAGTCCATCAACTAAAAATTCATTATCATTGGTCCCTCAACTTTAATTCAATTGGAGAAATTGTCCCTTAACTTTAACTCAATTGTAGTAATGGTTCTTCCAACATAACTCGTTTTGACAAAAATTTTGATGTAGTTGACGAAAATAACCATAATTACACACTTTGATGAGTTGAGGGACCCTAATTATGTGAATGGTTATTCCAGCATAACTTATTTTGACAAAATTTTGACGAAATTGATGAAAATGACTATAGCTACACATTTTGATAAGTTGAGGGACCAATGGTAATGAATTTTTAGTTGAGGGACTATTGCTCTAATTTGATTAAAGTTGAGGGACCTTCCAACATAACTCATTTTGACAAAAATTTTGACGTAGTTGACGAAAAGGACCATAATTACACATTTTGATGAGTTGAGGGACCCTAATTATGTAAATGATTATTCCAACATAACTTATTTTGACGAAATTTTGACGAAATTGATGAAAATGACTATAGCTACACATTTTGATAAGTTGAGGGACTAATGATAATGAATTTTTAGTTGAGGGATCATTGCTCCAATTTGATTAAAGTTGAGGAACCACTCCTACAATTTACTCGATAATTAATATCCAAAATAATGCGACGGCCTGGCCTTCTTTTGGAAGTTCGGAACTCAAGAATTGAAATGGCCTTCGTTTGGATGTTTAATTGGAACTTAAGATTGAAATGGTATCAGTTTGATATCATATGATCAAATTAATAAGCCATTGCACTTCTTCAATTATATTGGACCACATCTCTAGAGAAATTTTTTTATTGTGTCCGGAACACAGATTCTATACGTGTCATTATATAAGCAAATTTTTATATTTTAAATTGATAATTTTTTACACAATTATTATCTTATGTTCCAAATACACTGAAAAATCTCTCGCATGCTTGAATTTGTACTTAGTAGAGTACACTACACCTAATGTAGTATTAAGGAAATGTACCGCGACTAACGAACCCCTTAATCAAGTCTCATTTAATAACATCCTTGATCATATTCGCTTTGTCAAAATTTGATCGATTTCTTCTAAGCGCCTCCATAGAAAGTTGACAAAATTTGAGGTTTGGGAGGTTTAGTGAGAGACTATAACCGAGTTTCAAGTGGTTTTGTCTTAAATAGGGAGTTTTATTATATATTGTGCTAGAAGAACGAGGGAAGAGCAGCTTACATGAAACAATACACAATTACTATGACATCAACACCGTGGAGACAAATTTACTCATATGGATATATTGGTGCCATAGACGTCTTTTAACTTTTACGTGAATTTCATACAAAATTTATTGGTTCTTGTTCAAATTTGTAACTTAAAAATGCAATAGAGAAAATTCAGCCCAACTCTAGTCTAAAGGAACAGTGGCCCAATGGTAAATAGTGGATTATGAGACTTCTTTAAAACTAAAAACTTGAGGTCTTGGGTTTGAAACCCTCTGCTGGTGTGGAAGGCAGACTTGTGGCCAGGAGAAGGCTGAAGTGTTTCTGTGAGTCTTCCCGGCCCTCGGAAGAGATGGATAACTAAGTCTTGCCACCAGTTGTCTCCTTTTAATAAAAAAAAATTAAAAAAAAAAAAAAGGAATACCCTAGTCAGTAGACTTAATTGTCAGTGCAACTAAAAATATAATAAACCACCCAACTTAGCTTTTCTGGTAACCTCTTATTGACCTTGGTGGAAAACTCTTGAGGAGAAGGGGCTCACTCAGTCCCTTTCGGGGCATCAACGTCACTGCCATCATCCTCCAAATTATCAACCGCGTGTGTCCCTGGAAAGAATTCTTCATGTGGATACAACGTCTGGAAAAGCTGCCAAGTACAAGCATAAATTTCTTTCAAACCCCATGTTTATTACTTAAAAGTGTACAATCGTCACATATAAATGTGGCGATTTGTATGTTAATAAGTATATCCCATGTTACTTGTATACTGCAAGACTATTATAAAGTTTTATATAATTGATTAAAGAAACTAAGGATGACATACCACCGCAGTTGAATCTATGAGATCATTGTAGTCCAGATTCGCATCTGGCATCGGAGTTGAGAGGAAATAACCCTGTTCATCCTGAAATCAAAGTAAAAATCGTAAAATTCATCGTACATCATACAATCAAAGATTCAAATCCCATATACCAAATCGACAACCACATTGTTTCAACAAGAAATGGCTACATATGTATGAATGAAGACTACTCGGAGAGTTATGGGTGTAATAATATTTTGCCCTTTTATTAGCATTACATGTGCTTGTGAATGTTATGGTTGAGAGAGAGAGAGAGAGAGAGAGACTGGCACACCGTAGTCAGCTCCTGAACATACAACATGCTCCATAACAAAGTAGGTTTTACTTCTGCATCTTCACTATCAAGAGTGCGATCATAAGGGTTTCCAGAAAGCGCAAGTTTGAGAAGCGCATTCATGGCATCACGTAGCAACATTTTCCCTTGTTTGGCGTCATCGCATAAAACAGAAAGGTACACAACAAACCTGAAGAATGTCAATTTAACAGATTTATCAAAAGGGTGAAGGCATATTACTCTTTGCACCATGTTTATCCATCTAATCCAAATGTAAGCAGAGGAATACCCAAAAAACTGTGATTCACCCAACGAAAACCTAAACAATTTACCCTAAGCAAAATATTAATACTTGATTTTGTACATTTGGTGCATAAATCCAATCATAAACACATACAAAGGTAAAATCATGAAATATATTTGTGTATCCCTGTGTAGGCTGTGTGCATGTATGCATGTGAAGACTTTATTGATTTAGCAAAAACATACATGCCCTTTGGACAAACTTCAGCCGAACTTCCACCTATTTGGATTGCCCGGATCGAAGCTTCTTGCTCAGGGTACAAAGCTAGAGAGGAAAAAAATGGAATCAATTGATTATGTTCTTGTTACTCATTTTGAACAAAGCACAAAATCAAAACATATTACGTCTTACATCCTGGAGGATATACAAGCAAACAGTTTGATATATCTGGCTTCAGTGAACTGGTTGTAATACATATTCCCCTAGCCACCTTTCGTTTATCATCTTTCAGACTTAAAACTTGAGGACTTGCTCTCACGTCTGGTGGGGATGAAATTGGCAGCGATGGGACCTTGAAAGTTGGATCCATAACTAGCTGATCACTATACAAATTCTGACCAGAAGCTAATCTCACACCTTTATATTGGCCACTGTCCTGCAAAAATTCAACATTCAGAAAACCAAATTTCAATTTCTTTCAATCAACCATGTTATATAAGAAACAAGTATAACTATCCTCACTCACATACCTTGTCCGTAAGCACGGCAACTGGAACTCGTTGAGCCTGCATGGCAGATTTCTCAGATATAGATAAACATTGCAGCTATTTATTACCCAGTCAAGTTTTTAATAAGTTACATGACTCATGAATTTGGGAGATACACAGGCACAAATACAACAACAAAAAAGTTTTATCCCACAAGGTGGGGTCGGCTGTATGAATCCTAGAAGGGCACTGCACTCATACACAGGCACAAATTAAAAAAAAAGGAAGATAGCAAAGAGTATATGTTAAATAAGATCAGAGTATTGACGCAAAAATAAATAAATAAGTAAGAGCCTACATATATGAACAAGCGTGTACAGGGCAACAATGTTGGAAAAACACTTCCCATGACAAACAGGTAAGAAATATTTGCATGAACTTACACAAACGCAGCCTTTAACAGCAGCGCGGCGGCTTATAACTCCTGATAAGTTCCCATGACCATACATAGGATAAATCATAGCCTCAGGTGCATTTGTCAACCTAATAAGAACAAGAACCATTAGTAACTTATTATACTTATTAACTATCATCTTTGAAATAAATATGAGACATATGACTGAGATAAGTTTCATACTGGAATCATCAGCGCACATATGAAACAGTCAACATACAAAAAGAAAACGGTGTCCATTTTGAGATTTTGATTTCAACGAGTCTGACAGGATTCCACCTATTCAACCTTCATTCTTGTTTCTCCTCTAGACAGATAAACTCAGCTCTACATTATCTTCGTCATATTGACAGTGGATAAAACAAAACAGACCAGATTTGATAGTATTAACACTATATGAATACCAAGTTAAGCATCAGTACAATAAAACTAAATAGAATCTAAACATCACAGGATACCATGATGGGCGGAGTAGAAAGGACAAAACAAACCTCGATTTGTAGAAGATTGCTAACCGCTCGATCCCATCTCTTGTCTTAAGTATACTTTTACAAGCTTCCAGGTCGTCTTGATCATAGTCTACCATGGCAATGGCATACAAAATAATTCTACAGACAAGGAAATGACATAAGGTGTCAGCATACTAAAGACAGAATTTTTGAGACATAATAGAAACTAGACCGAATAATTAATCTCAGAAACAGCGTGCAGTGAATGCTAATGTTGGCTACCCATAAATCATAGCAAGGCAATTAGGAACACACATATATTAAGCATTGTGATGCAAAGCAACAAGATGAGAACCGAAAACAAAGCAAACAAACTAACAGAAAAAAGGGTAATGTGATGTATACGATTTGATCCTGTGTGGCAATTCCATTCTGTTTAAGAAATCAACGAAGGGACTCTCCAAATCTTCATCTGAAATTTTCCTACTCTCACTATTTCCTTCACTCCCTTGTTCGTCAGAGGCTGCTTCCAGGTGCTGCCAAACAAGCTTGAAGAACCTCATCAGCTTATTCTTCTCCATGAGGCTTAGCCTCTTGTCTTTGAATATTGCTACTCGAGAGTCTGGAACGTTCCACAACTCCCCAATATCATCGTAAATGGACTTCATTTCAATGCCCTTGAAACACAAAAATGGTGACACGCCCGATCTCCACAGAAGGTCCGTGGCTTTGTCTGCAAGAAACAAAACCTTGGGCCCGCTAAGGTCAATGTAGAATCTTTTGGGGTTATGCTGGGCAAGGGCTTGAGGGGCATAGGTAACCGTCTCAATGTCGGAGTAGAGCAAGCGCCGGGTGAGGGGTAAGGCAGTGTAATCATCATGTCCCGTAATTGTGGTGGTGGTAGTGGTTGTGGAGGAGGAGGAGGGTGGGGAAGCATGAGAATTTAGGAAGGGAAAGAGATCATCCAGGGGAAGAGAGGCGAAGTGGCCGCCGTAAAATTGGTTAGTGTCAAGGTGAAGAACAGCTTTTCCGGCAGTAGAAGCTGCGGCAGCAATCACGGATCCAGGGAGGCCCGTTCCAATAACAATAAGGTCAAAGGTGCTGGGCGTGATAGGAATGCGGTCATCAAAGAGTTGACTCATTGCTCCGCAACAAAAATATTCATCATAGAATTTTGGCGCCGAATCGCCCGCTTGATTCACTTCGATTCCCCTCGATTCCTTTGCTCGGATCGCGACCCTATTAGGGTTCCTTTTCGGGATGGTGACTGTTTGGCCGGTGCTCAAGAACACTGAAAGAAGATCGGTAGGTATGGAGATTAAAGTTTTTTTTTTTTTTTTTTTAACAATTGATATTATTTACCCTAAAATGAGAGATGAGATTAGTCTCACAATAAACTAGCATAATGTGGTTCAAATTTATCTTTGGTGAGAATTAAACATAAGATGAATACAACTAAACGGTAATACTAAGTGACAATGAAATTAAAGTTTTAAACTATATATATTAATCTAAACTACATATTAATAAAACTTTCTTTGTCAATTAAAAGATGGTAAAAAGATAATTTTTTCTTTTACCACAAGGCTTCTCTCAACACTCTGAGATTGATTACGAGGAGACGTATTCCCTGTAATGGACGTCATAACTATTGATTACGAGGAAACGTATTCCCTGTAATGGACGTCATAACTTTATGCTACCTTATCAGTTTGGTAGTTTTCGAAAAGCTAAATATGCAGCTTATGGATGTGGTAACCGCATATCTCTATAGAGATCTAGATATAGAAATCTACATGAAAGTTCCAAAATGACCTCCATTAACTGGTTCAAATAGTTCTAGACTACGAAACACTCTCTTTATTAGAATGAGGAGATCACTCTACGCATTGAAACAATCTGGGTGGATGTGGTATAACCGTCTGAGTGAATATTTGACAAGTCAGGGTTATGTGAACAACGAACTATGCCTATACGTGTTCATCAAGAAGTCGCATTCCAAATTTGTGATCGTTGTAATTTATGTCGACGACATGAACTTCATCAGAACTCTAGTAAAGCTTGAGGAAATTGCCGTTCACTTGAATCTGAATTTGAGATGAGAGATCTTGGGAAAACTAGATATTGTCTCAGCCTGGAGATTGAGCATTGTTCGGATGAAATCCTAGTACATTAATCGAACTACACCTAAAAGGTGTTGCGACGTTTTAGTGAGGATAAAGTGAAGCCTTCAAGTACTCCTATAGTCGTTCGGACTCTAAATGCTAAACGAGATCCCTTCTATCCTAAGGAGGATGAGGAAGAGATTTTGGAGCCTGAAGTTCCATACCTAAGTGCAATTGGTGTTTTATTGTACTTGGTTCAATGCACTCGACCCGACATCTTCTTCGCTGTTAATCTAGAGACAGCAATGCACCTACATGCAGACACTGGAATGGTGTTGAAGACATTTTCCGCTACCTCAAAGGTATGACGGATTTGGGCTTGTTCTACACCCATGAATCCTTGCAAGGAGCTGCCGCCCCCTCAGTCTTCGGGATTTTTGCCTCGTTGGTTACGCAAATGCTGGTTATTTGTCTGACCCACATAGGGCACGTTCTCAAATGAGTTATGTCTTTACCATTGGAAACACCGTAATATCTTGGAGGTCTACCAAGCAATGCTAATTGCAACTTCCTTGAACCATGATGAGATTCTCGCTTGCATGAAGCCTAGCGTGAGTGTTTTTGGTTGAGAGCAGTCATGGAACATATTCGAAGTACTAGTGGTCTTACTACTGTCGTTGACCTTCCTACGACGATATTTGAAGACAATGCAACATGTATTGAGCGATTAAAGAAGGGATACATTAAGGGAGACACCACCAAGCATATAGTGTCGAAGTTCTTTATTCTCACCAACAACAACAGCATCAAAACATTGAAATCAAGTAAAATCGTTCCCAGGACAACCTGGCTGATCTCTTCACTAAGTCATTGCCCAAGTCTACTTTTCAGAAACTCCTTCCAAGTCATTGCCCAAGTCTACTTTTCAGAAACTCGTCTAAGGAATCGATATGCGTAAATTATCTTAGTTGAATAGCTTGTAGTTCTTTTATTTGAAAATTATGTCTAACTCAAGGGGAGTATCCTGAAGCATACTCACTTGATCTTAATTTATTATTTTTCCTATAATTAAGAGCATTTTTCCACTAGGTTTTTGCTACCTAACGATGTTTTGATGAGACACTCATCTTGGGATGATCATACTCCCTTGAGTTCACTATTTTCATCTTGTATGACGTTTGTTTTAGACATTATGCATACTTCTCACTTTTCTCCTTAGTTTATGGGTTTTCACTTGCCTTAGGTTTTACCATAGCGATGTTTTGTGAGTTTTACAACCACTGCATACTTTCTTTAATTTGAGACTAGCATTCGTCCGTTGTGCCAACAACTTCATCAATTGTTCTACTTTATCTGCTGAAGACCTGATGCAATGTTTTGTTTGAGTATTTACACACTCAAGGGGGAATGTTGCACTTCTATTAGATTAGGAATGTGATTGTATAAATCCTAGTGTAGGCTAGGGATATCTTGGGATATTCCCTTTAGTATATAATATCCTATTAGAGTTGTAATCTTATTAGGGTAAAGATTTAACATATCATACTACTATAAATAAAGGCACAATGAGATGATAAAACACACATCTCAGACTTACATCTCTTTATTCTCTCTCTCTTGCCGCCGGTCCTAAATACAATTAAGTAAATTAGGCCTACAACAATATATATTTCTTTTGTTTATTTTTATTTGTGACAAAAATATATTTATTACATGCATTGGTTGTGCTCAATTAGTAATTCACAACGGCATAGCATATAGTGTTAGTTCCTAATTTATCTTGAACACAATCTTTGGTTATATCGCATTTGACAACAGACATCGTCTGTGATAAAAACTGATGTTTTTTACCACATCAATATTTTGCCTTGAGTTTTCTTGCACTCACTTCAAAAAATTAACGAGTTCTACTCAGAATGAAGAAACCTTTTTCCCAGCTGATTTTGAAAGAACAAAATTGAAAAGGGGAAAGAGCTTTCCAGAAAACTATCAATAAATATGAGAACAAAATCACAACAAACATACATCTATATATAAAGCCAGTAGGGCTTTTGAACAATGGTTTTTGGGGTCCCATGCTTCACAAAAAATTATTAGACAGAAATGCCCCTCAAACAAAAAACTTCAAAAGTAACCCAAAATAATGCATCAAAGTGGCAGGAGTATTTTCGTCATATAAACAGTGATAAAAAATATTTTTAATATTTAACTATTTACTGTACAGTGATAAACAGTGTTTTTAATATTTAACTTTTTCATGTACAATGTTTTTTTTATATATATAATTAGTACCTCACAATGAGCTATCAATAATGTGATTCAATCAATTGTTTATTAATTATTATTTTCTCTATTTTTAAACACGTCAAAATATCTTAAGAGGTGTGTAGTGCAGGTTATAAAAAAAGTCTTTCGCACGAGCATAATAATGTGATTCAATTAGTTGTCAAATGATTGTTTTTTGTTTATTTGAACAAACGATGTTATCTACACTAAGGGGGAGGGGATGGGCTTAGCCTCATAATCGGATAGCAATAATGTGATTCAATCAGTTGTTTATTAAATATTATTTTCTTTATTTTTAAACACGTTCAAAACATCTTAAGAGAAGCGAACCGCTGGTGATAAAAAATATTTTTCGCACGCGCACAATAATGTGATTCAATCAGTTGTTTATTAAATATTATTTTCTCTATTTTTAAACACTTAGAGGCGCGTAGTGCTGGTTATTAAAAAAAAAAACCTTTCAATTAGTTCATATATTTGACTTTCTTTTTGTCATAAAAAAATTATGAAAGCAATTCACATATATAAATATATTTAAAATGTGTAAGTTACATATAGCATGCCGTAATTCAAAAAAATACCTTCTGCACGTACATGCATAGCAAAGTATATAAAAAAGAAGCAAACAGGCAAAAGGAAAGAAAACGAAAATGCACCAAGCATTGTTACTCTGCTGTCTTTTGGTATACCTAATTTGGCAATTTGAATTTTGATTTAAACTCTAATATATTGCCACATGTGTGGCAGAGATGAATTGTAATGTTGATGCGCTATTGTCTTGGGGAGCTGTCCTGTGCACCGGGAACAATTATCCAAAAGGAAATATCAGAAAATCTTTTCATGAAAAACTTCAGCTGCTCTGTTTCTTTTCTTCTCTGCTTTCTTTGAGATATTCTTCTTTCTATCATCTTTATATATTGCTTGATAAACATGGCAGATGTTCTAATCCCAACATGGTATTTCTTTTATGAAAGGTTTCCTCTCATTAAGCATGTTGTTTATCTACCTATGACACATGATATTTCAATCTATCATTACCATATTTTTGAGTTTTTGCTGGGTTTCATTTACGTCTTAGATTAAATGTATTTATCTACTTGTACCATTTTTTTTAATCTACTTCTGTCACATGTTCATTTTGTGTTAGCCAACATGATCCATCCCCCTTTATTACAAAATTTATTGGGAAATACCCTACAATAAGACAATTTCTTAATCTTGGAACAAAAATAAGACAAATTGAAGATCATGCACAACATGTACAAAACCGAAATTACTAAAATACCCACATATAAAAGAGTTATTCCTCACTTTCTCTCCCCCTTTTTCTGATTTCTCTCTCTCTCTCTACTCTCTCTCTCCCTTCATCTCTCTCTTCTCTCACTTTTTCTCTCTCTACTCCCTCTCCTTTCCTCAGATCTCTAAGCTCCGATTTTGAAGAGATAGAAGTCCAAAGAGAGGTGAAAAGAGTGAGCTAGGTTTTGGGTTCACCTCATACCTTTGATTTTGCACAAATGGATGAGAGAGAGAAAGGTGAGAAAAGTGAGCTGAGTTTTGTACCATATTTTTTGTTTTGGTCGAAAAGTTCCATTTTTCTAGCGACTGAAGCTTCGGCAGGCATAGTAAGGTAGGAGTGTTTCGTGCCAAGTTCCTTCATCAATGATTTATGAAATAACGTAGATGACGTTAAAGGTCATGCATGTCTGTGAAATAACGACAACGAGTATCATGTTTTCCAAGTGCACGGTTAAGCGGTGGTTGATATATGTAACGAGACTTTTCAAATTGTCACTATAACTTTCCACTATACCAATATGTTGCCATTAGAGCTTCTCTCGTTCTGTGCATATCATGTGCATGTACTATACATATTATGTGCATATAGTGTATTATGTGTAGATGGTGCGTA